AGTTACATCGGGTCAATTTGAAGTGATTTAATTAAAATTAGTTAATTTTTTTAAAATTTAAAATGTTAACTAATTAAATTTTTAATTTTAATTTTTAAATATAATATGAAATTAAATACTATAAAATAATTATTATTTATTAAATTATTCGTGTCAATATTTATTTAACATATTTTTTAGATAAACTAACTAATTAATATTAAATTTAAAAAAAATAGAAAAAATATTAAAAAATTTTAATTTAAAAAAAATTAAATCCATTTGATCCAATTTGAAACTCATGTGAATGTGTCAGGAGTTTATCCCTTTTAAAACAAAATCTAAAATATTCCAACTTGATAAACTTAAAATCTAATATAATCTAATTCCAATCCATTTCATTTGACTTATTTGATATGTTTATCAAGTGATCATAGATTTATTAGATTTAATAAAGGTTTGACTAAATTTAATAAATAATCGTTTGACTAAATTTAATATATAATCTAATAATTATCAACTCAATTTTATTTTTGTTTAAAAACTTAATTTTTTTCCTAAATAATTTAGAAACTATTATTTATGTACTATTTTAATCAATCCATCTAACGACCGTTACCTTTCATTAACGGAATGCTACGTCACAAAACGTGGAACCAAACCGGCATCATGTGGCAAAAAATAGAAGGAAAAATTATCTTTCAACTTTTAAACTTCAAAAAATGTTTTAATTAAGTCCTTAAATTAGATAGAGGAAAACCAAATGAAATTACTTATTAATTAATTACTAATATTTTATTGATCTTATTATCATTTACTACCTTTGTTTTAGAATAATAGTTATTTTTTATTTTATTTTAAGATTTAGAATTTAAAAATAATTTATATTTTTATTTATATTACTCTTAAAAAAAACAAAAATAAATAGAGACATTTTATAATAAGATTGATAATTAAAAACAAAGGATAAAATTTAAGTAAGAAAAAATATTTATCTTCATTAAAATATAAAAAAATGAAAATTAATTTGAGACAAGTTTTCAATAAAAAAACTATTATTCTAGAACATATGGAGTATGTAGTTAGTAATTTACTAGAATTGCAAAAAAAAAAAATGTAATTTACCAGCATTAAATT